AATTTGCATCAAACAATTATGCAAAATAGGAGCTTAACTTGTGTTAAAATGTGGTGAGAGTCTTATTAAAACAAGTGATTGGACAATAAAAGGTAACACTTGAAAATGTATGTGTGAAGTTTTGGGATCTATAATGTGTGAATGAATGTGTTGAGAGGGTGGATCTTTGTATCTCTCCAAATGTTCAGATGTTATTCAAGCTACAAGGCTCTGTGGTTTCCTCTCAGTGTGAGTCTTACATCCACCGGCTTTGTTTTTGCCTCTGAAATGATAATCAAACTAATTTAAACTTGTCGGCCTTGAAGTCTAGTCATCATACTTTTATTACGGGTTTTTAAGTCATGATTTCATCCAGGCAAATTATTTCAGACTAATATGGAGATTCCCTCATATCCTCTGGGCTTGTTGCTGTTCCACTAGTCATTTTGGGACATTTCATAGCAACAAAGAAAAAAGTCCAAAAATGTGGCAGTGTAACAGTGAAGCAATCTCAGTATGGTTTGTTCTTTATGAGTGTTTCAAACTTAAAGGTGCACTATGTAACTTTTGGGGTAAGAATGGTGTGCCACGTCTCCATGAATATGAATATGTTAGTGCTTTGCCTGGAATGCTCCACAGTATGGCATTAAACACATATGAATTAAATATATAGCATTTATTCAAATATACGGAAGCCCTGAGCGGCAAGAGGACAAAAATAAAAGAGGCACAACATTTGGGCACTATTTTCTAAGAGTTTTTTTTTTTTTTCTTCTTCTTCTTTTTTTAGGAAAAGAAAAAAAAAAAGTTGTTGGTGGAAAAAAAACAAAACAAAAAAACCCCTAAAAATAGAACACAAATGACCTGCCTCTTTTTTTTTTTTCTCTTGCTGCTCAGGGCTTCCTTAAAATACAGAAGTTTCATGCTCAAGGTGAAATCTAACCAATAACAATAACCAAACTGACCCCATGAAGATAGATGAAGTTTAATGCCATATTGTGGAACATTCCAGTAATTTATTATCATAGATATTCCCCATGGAGACATGACCCAATAAATCCAAAACAAAGGCACATCTTGATTTGTGATGAAGGGCATGGCTCCCAGCCTAATTGAAAATATAATTTATAGTAGAGACTTTAAAAAAAAAAAAAAAAAAAAAAAAAAAAAAAAAATAATATATATATATATATATATATATATATATATATATATATTATTATTATTATTATTATTAAAGGGATAGTTCGGATTTTTTGACATAAATCTGTATGGCATCCCCGTCATCAGTGTTGTGCATCCACACCGACTTACCCCCCGAAAGCGTCCGGTGAGCCGAGATACTGGCCTGTTTTGGTGCTGAGGAAAGTAGTTCGGCAAGTTGTGTGTGGGGACTGTATACTAAAGTGTTTTTCTTCTCAAAGCAATATTTGTTCAAAAGAGTGATACATTTGCATCACAAAACCATCGTCGCCAAAAAAGTCAGATCTCATAATCGCTTGGCGCTATTTTCTCTCCGTACGTACCACTGCACGCGGCCGCCAGGTGACAGCCGCGCACGGATCCATCACTTTCTTCAGTTGTTCGGCAGTGTTTACATGCGCAGACCGCCGCCACGTGAGAGAGCTAACGAGAGAGCTAGAGCCATAAGTATATGAGCCTGGTTCACTTTGTTTACTGCTCGGAATGTTAGCGACAACATGTCTGATTATGACACCGACAATAAAGACTTTGCCTTTACCACAAACCCAAGGGGAGATCTTTGTGAACCCGAATATACTGATGCCGAATTTCACCAGATGGAGTTAGAACGAGCAGAGAGAGAGAGAAAAGACAGAGAAGTGGTACAAGTTGACGCTGGAGCCGTGAGAGACCGAGTGAGCGACAATCACCATCACGTCATTTATGAACTCGTATACAGCGAACATAGAGCCTATACTGTGACTGAAGTATGGACTACTAACAGAAACATAGAATCATTCACACGTCCACGTAGCTGCTGCCAATAGTGTACGTGACATTTACAATAGTAATAACAGTCGACTTATAAAGTTACGTTTTGTAGAAGCTTCACTGGTGATATGACACTGAGTGATTTACTGCACACAGAGTTACAGCTGATTCTTGAACCTGTTCTCTTGTAAACGTAGCGGCACTTCTTCGTTCTTACCTGGTTTGGTTTCCACATTGAAGCCAAAGGCAAGAAGCCAAAGTTTCCTCAGCGCAAAGTCCGTGACAGGAAAACAGTGAAATGTGCGTGGAGATTCAGCCAGATTTTTGTTGTTACAGCCTGGATAATCAAGAGTTCGCACCATTTTTTAGATATATTCATATGTATCTTATACAAGCTCATATACTTATGGCTCTAGCTCTCTCGTTAGCTCTCTCGCGTGGCGGCGTTCTGCACTTGTAAACTCTGCCGAACAACTGAAGAAAGTGATGGATCCGTGCGCGGCTGTCACCTGGCGGCCGCGCGCAGTGGTACGTGCGGAGAGAAAATAGCGCCAAGCGATTATGAGGTCTGACTTTTTTGGCGACGATGGTTTTGTGATGCAAATGTATCACTCTTTTGAACACATATTGCTTTGAGAAGAAAAACGCTTTAGTATACAGTCCCCACACAACTTGCCGAACTACTTTCCTCAGCACCAAAACGGGCCAGTATCTCGGCTCACCGGACGCTTTCGGGGGTAAGTCGGTGTGAATGCACAACACTGATGATGGGAATGCCATACAGATTTATGTCAAAAAATCCGAACTATCCCTTTAATATGAGCATCCTCCGTGTATTTTGGTTGTATAACAGGGACATGTGAATGCAAGCTCTCATGTGGCAGTGGGGGGTAGGTAGTGGTGAGTGTTGATTTCTTCCCCAGATCAATATCTCGTTCTCTCCCCTTCAGCTTGGGCACTTCCAACAGCCACAATGAAAATCTCTTGTGGATTTGACACCAGTCCTTCTAATCCCTTCAGCTGTGTGAGCTACAAAAGCCAGAGTTTTTTTGTGAGGGCTCTTCATTCGGAGTAGATGTGTCTCCATTATCTTCAGGCCATCACTGGATCCACCGCTCCTCTGGCTATGTCGCATGACAAGGTGACATCTGCGAGCGAACACCACTTTGTATTCAAATTTGATAGTGTATATATGGCATATCAAGAAAGCCAAACAGTACTTATTATGCGGCCTTGAGGGATTGTTTTGCACGCAAAGCCAAGGTTACGATGCGAGGAGCTGGTTTTTCAAAATTCCCCAAGGATTTTTGGCCCCCTGCTTAATAATTTACTCATATGTGCGTTTGTAACTTTGCATGCCAAGTTCTTTATCGCCTCAAGCGCCATTATGGAGTGCAGTCATCATTTTCGACCAATAAAAATTCAACATCAAATGCATGTTGACAGTGATGGCGGCCTTGTTTTTACAGGCTGTTTGGGCGCATTCATTGATTTGTTTGATCATCTAGAATGCCGTAGGAAATGCTATCTCAAACACTGTAATTACGCAAGATCAAAAAGAGGCCTCCATAATATAATTACAGAGAAATAGGTTATGTGGAGTTCAGAGTTTGTTGACCAGTGCATGATACGGTAATTACGTCAGGGGTGAAAAGTGTAACGTTTTTGTGTCAGCAAAATGTTCCCGAACCACGCAGCTGTTAGTGTGGTGTTCTACATGAAGTTGGGGAATTGTAACATATTTTCTTTTGATGGTATTACTGCCATCAAAGTGGCCACGGCAGTTACTCTAGTCTGAATGTTCAGATAAAAAGAAAGGGAGGCATTTTTATTTTCCCTAGGCCTATTTTAGTAAGTGATGGTGTGTGCATGAGTGGTCAGAGGGGCCAATGGTGCAGATTGGCAGCCTTGCTTAGGTCTTTTGGTCTGGGGCAGCTGTGGCTACAAAAGTAGCTTACCACCACAGAGTGTGGAGTGAATGAAGAAAAATGCTTTTGGTATCATGAAAGGTACTATATAAATTCAATTGATTAATTATCCATGGGTTTCAGAATGATTGAAATTAGTACTGCTGCCATAGCGATTAATGATGCAAAACAAAATATACTATCCTTTGAATAGTGAGAAATACTCAAAATGGCGGCAAGAAACAGGAAGCTGCAACAGATGAATAAGCTGTCCAACCTCCACCAGAGCTCTGAAATATGTCCAATACGTTATATATTGAGAATGAACTTTCAGTATGTTCTGTTCTCCATTTGGCTCCATGTGTTATTTGCGTCAACATTTACATTGGCAGATCTGAATGTGTTTTAGCTAATGAAGCATTTCAAGAGATTTATGTATTTTCAGGAAACACACACGGTGTACGAAAAAAGAACTTTTATTCATAATATATTCATACTTGTACACAAGTAAAATAAAATGCATATCTATGGTTCCATTGCAATCTCCATAAACAAACTGACAGCATTTATTTTCCGGAAATGCTACCCTTGAACCCTCTCTGTCATGAAAATAGAACTAAAACTGGGGAGGTAAAACATTTGCTTTCAAAAACATAAAAAAAACATAACATTACCCAACAAATGCATCACTTTGATTAAATAATGGGAAGGAGATCATTTAGAATCATCAAACAAAGCCAACATTCTTTGTGTGCTTTCTGCATTATTTGTGTGCTTTCTCTCTTGGATTTCCTGAAATTTTGCCATTATTTTTTATTCATTTTTTGTTTCACTCATCCAGTGGTCTGTCTAAGCAGTAAAAGCTTTTGAGAAGGAAAAAGGGTGGAGTCTCCGAAGTGTAGCTTAGACACAGTACAATAAAGTACATAGAGAACAAACAATTTGGGCACCGATCATTATATACATTAGTTCTGTAGTGTTCTGTAAAGGCATCCATTTAATAAACTATCTTGTTATTGTTGTCTTCATTGGCCATGTTGGGTCAGTGGGACTCCAGATATTTCTCAGTCTCTGTCTGCTGGAGATGTCACTGCGTCTTCTGTGTCATTGTCGTGAGCATCAACAATTTTAGTCCAGAATCCACAATGAGATCAGAAAGTCCTAAGACATGGCTAGAGATATCCAGATGGTAGGAATGAGAAGAAACCGCAGAACTTTCAAAGACGATCCCTGGCCTTTGATGCACTGGGCGTCTGATTTGGGCTTTTTCAAACACTTCTTTTTCTTTTTATTTGATGCTGTTGAGGATTCTGGATTGTCTATAAACTCCGGGTTGAGGTTGGAGGAGTTTTCCAGCGTGTTGGACAACGTTCCCAGTGGTCCGTCATTTTGTTTGTGCTGGGATTCATTTTTTGTTCGCTCCGTCTCTCCTGCTTTCGGTTTAGACATGTTCCCCTTATCCTTCACTGGGTTATTATGGTGGGATTTTCCAGACAAGATGGAGGACTTGTCATTATCTCCAAGACAACACCTCGGAATAGTGTCCCCAATAGGAATTTCGCTTGGGAATTTTCCCGACTGGACTTTGGTGCTGAAGAGATCGGTCTGGATTTGAAACTTCTTCACACAACCCTCCAAGTCTTCACTCTTTAAAGTTTTCAGGTCCTCTTGTGCCAAATATTCCGGTACATAACATTCCAATTCTGAGCTGGAGCCTTTGAACCGCTTGAACCATTCCCACAAGGTCCTTGCACGGCAATCACAAATCCACTGGTTTCCGTTAAGTCTTAGATATTGTAGCGAAACAAGTGGCTCCATAGTCTCTCCTGTTAAGACGGTAAGGTTGTTGAAGAACAAATAGAGGGTTTGCAGCTTACCAAGATCACTAAAAGCCCTTGGTTCAACATAAATAACACGATTCTGGTGTAGCAGCAGTCGATCTAGATTAATTAACCCGCGGAACATATTATCTGTGACTATCTTTATCTTGTTATTGTGAAGGTAGAGGTACGTAAGATTGGCAAGGTCCAGAAAGGTATCATCATGCAGCGTGAGGATGTTGTTATCCTGCAGGTAAAGGTATTGTAGGGAAAACATTCCACGGAAAACTCCAACGGGGAGCTCGGACAAACCACACCTATGCAAGTGAAGCGTGTGCAGTTTGGTCAGACCTCGAAACGCCGTGGTGCTGATTGTGCGGAGGTTGCTATTGTCCCCAATGTCCAGCTCCTCCAGTTTTTCCAAGCCGTAAAAGGCCCCGGCGTCGATGTAGCTTATGTTATTAGAGTAGAGCCAGAGGACGGTGAGATTATGGCAGGAGCTGAAGCTGGTGGATCGGACCTCCGTCAGCTTGTTGCTCTGGAGGAATATCCGCTGGCTACGCACAGGGATCTCAGTGGGGATGTAGAACAGTCCTTGTTGTTGGCAGGCCACGGTGGGCTTGGGCTCACTGTAGCACACACACTTGGCAGGGCAGCTGTCTGTCTGAGGCACGAGGTTCAGCCACATCACCAGGATCAGGAGGCGCCCCCCTGCACACACAGAAAAGAGAGAGAGAAAAATATTAGAGGATATCGAAATACAGCGTTAACAAAGGAGGAGAAAAACAACAACAGACAACAGATGACAGATTTATTTGCAGTTTTGTCAGTATATTGCTCAAGAAAATAACTAGGTTTGTGAGTAGATTTAGATATATAAATTGATTATCTTATGATAATAAATATGCCTCTAAATAATAGACTTGAAATTGTGCCATATGTCACTGTTTCCCCCACTTTTGTTTAGCAACTTTATTTTCTTTGATAAATGACGCCTGCAAGTAAATGTATTATTAATTGCCATTAACAGTTGACAACCATCTAAATTCTAAATAAATTGTCTTTAATGTGTTCAGAGTGGCCACATATGGAATTATTTCCAAACCATCATGAGAATGCCCAATCTCATCTAATCTCAGAAACTTAACTAAGCCTTGGTTAGCACTAAATGGTAAACCACAGAGAATACCACGTGCTGTAGTGGGGTGGCAAAGGCTCTAGCGCATGTTGTCATTGTGTCATTGGGCAAGATACTCCCCCGTCCATGCTTCAAGTGTATGCTGGTGTATGAACATGGGTATGCTTATGAGAGTGAATGCAGAACAATTTGGAGTGTTTGCATCATTCATATTATGTTCATTCACATGCATTGTCCTGAACAGAAAAACATTATCCATGCTATAATTCCCGTTCATCATTCAAACATCATCACAACAACAAAGCCACAGTATCTCCACAACACCATTCACACATACCACAGATAGGATTATGGCTGATTGCAGTGATGTTGCACTGGATGTAACTGCCACACATTTCTTCCATGCTGCTTTACCAGATGTGAGAGCCCAAAAAAGCTGAGAAGCCATGTGATGCTGAAGTCATTACAAATGGGGTATGTGGCTTTTCTGAGGAATTAGCTTATACTCTAAGAGGCCAGACATAACTAATGGTGTTGCAGCATTCCTGAGGTTGACATTTAGCCTGACGCTGGGAGATAAGACTTCATGCCAGGCTAAGAGATTGATGCCTACGGGCTGAGGTGGAGAGGTGACTGTAATGCACCACTGGGTCTCCACTGAGCAGGTTTTTAAACAAAGATGAGATAGGCTATATCGAGAGGTGTGCTGCTGTTAGTCTTAAAAACATTCTTATGTGTTAGCCCTGGGCCATTCATATTTAAAGTATTTTCCATCTACAAATAAACCATGCTCTGTGAGATTATCGCATTTATATTGGTGTGGGATAACATACAGATGGCCGGTGTAAACAGGACACAAACAAAAGCTTTACTGAGGTTACCATAGTGATTTCTGAATTTCTGAATTGTTTATTGAAATAGTTTGTTCAAAATATGTCCCGCAAATTAAACCATTTGCTATTATTTGGTGTGATGCTTTCAATGTGAAATTCAGTGTGAATCAGTGTATCCACTTGACATATTCAGTGACAGTCATTTCACTATGAATGGGTTGATTTAAAAAGGCAAGTCATTATGAAAGCAGCTACTGATGTTAGATATAAAATAAATAAAAAAATTAAAATAAAAAAAATCTCAGCTTCTCTTATTGGTTATGGCCATGAATTTATGACCCGCTGACTAAGAATAGCCTTTCATCTCCTTCACTTTCATATATTCACATACAGATTAGGGGTCATGGGTGACTGGAATAACTATGTGCTTTATGTATGATGGTTTACCAGTAGCCAGTAAACCACAATACAGAATGGCCTATAAATTCATTAAAGAACTTAGTCCAGCAACTTGCTAAGTGCTAACTCAAAGTCTTCTGCCACATTGGTTCCCTCTATAAATATCGCTCTTATTTAATAAATAAATTCCCTAAAGTTGTGATGCAGAACATGTGCCTATTGGGGCTTGACCTTGCTCCATACATAAATCAACGTGTCAAACTGTCACCCGCACATCTTGTATGAGAATTTAATCCGAGGCACTACTTCAAATTTCTGAAATGTCGTCAGCCTCTATGATTGCCAAGGATTTCCAATCTTCCATGCACAGGTGAGGAATTCCGAGCTTACCGGGATGACAGGTGTAGCAGCTCTTGAGTAAAATGCATGCGCCTCACTCCTCCCCTCTCCTCTCCCTCCGTTTCCCCATTCCCTGCTCATTCGCTGCAGTGTGTTGTGGAGCTCCTCATCGTGGGCCTTGTTAAACGGGGCTGTGGTGTGGCCTGACAGGGGCCCTCTGCTGCACTTTCAGTCCAATCTGGGAGCGGAGCCGTCAGACTGCCACCGGAAAGCTGTCAGGGCTCCCAGCTCTTTCTGCACCGTAGCACTTTTCCCTCAGCCCTGCCTAACAATAGCAATATTTTATAGCATACCACGCTTCATGTATCTCCACCGCTATCACCGCTACCCCCCCATCCTTTTTGCTCTGTTCATTAACGGGCTATTTCCTTCCACGTATTGCATGTCAGGGATGGGTTCCTCAACTATTGTATATGCCACTGGTACTCAAACTGGTATCAATCAAAATGTGAAGTCAGTTTAATCCAGATTCTTCTTTTGTTTTGTCTTAGTTTACATCTATAATACTAGATGATGTAATACTTAGAAGGTCAAATTGTGTCTTAAGTGGTAGTGTAAAAAGTTTGAAAACTGCCAGTATATACCATAATAAGTCTCTGTCATCTGGAGATTGGCAGTATAAAACCAACAACAGAACCATACTCATGCCATTAGATTATCTTACTAACATCTCCACATCTTCACTGCAGTAATTACTAACCATATGTGGCAAACAGGTACATTTGAGTGTTGTCTTCTGCTGTGCTCTTTCACACACTCTTTCTCTCTAACCTTTGCATGACTCATTGCCAGACTTCTCACCTTCCACACTTGAGACTATAGTCTATTCTCAGCTAATGCTAAATCTGTGTTCACACCAATAATTCACTTGAAAACATGACAAAACTGCTCTCTTATCTTTTATCATGCATGTAGCTTGTCCTGTTCATCCAGTCATCACTTCATCAAATGCCACCGAGGGTGTTTAGTATCTGAGTGACGAGTGATGCTTTTTTTTTTTTTTTTTTTTTTTTTTTTTTTTACTTAAAGGGCCCATCTCATGCAAAAAAAAAAAACTCTTTTCACATTGTATCTTATGCACACATACAAGCACAATTTGGGTTTTGGAACATCCATTACACAATAGTTATGAAATCTTATTGATTTCTTGGAGGCAGTCACAGACCAGGTACTATGAAAGGCTGGCTATTCCTCATCCCTCCGCCCATTCTGAGAAAGCACAGGCTTGGCCCTAGAAACGTGACGTAGGCTCTGAGTGAGCCGCCCTTCCTCCGCCCATCTCAGGGAGTTAGGGGAAGACAGGCAGTCTGATAGTGGTAGGAATAAACATTTATTCATCATGGCTATACAGCGTGTTCAGCCTTATGTGTTGGACTTGGAATCGGAAGAGGACTTTGAGATGCATGAAGCACAAGCACCGCGTCGGAATCAGCTGAACAATACTGAGTGGTAAAGTATTAATAAACGCTAGTAGATAAACTTATTATATCGTGTTCACTGCAGTGTAGAACAATTAGCTTATGCTGTCACTTTTGTTTCTCACAGTAAGAATAGATGGCCTTGTACGTGACATCAAGGAAAAAAAAAAAGTAATGCAGTGGGGTGTTAAAAGAAAAGCTTTGAATGATTTGTTTGGATCTTGGGCAGATTAAGACCCAAATCCTCCATCTTGGTGGGCATGGTTTTTTACAGTTTTTTGCTGCTGATACACGCCGCTACAGAGGGCACACAGGGACATCTGGTAGCCCAGGCCCTGATTTATCATGGTGGCTTTACTCTGAAGGGCGGAGGATTGGGATGGGGCGGCGGACATGACAGTGTGATCCCATCGGCCCTCAGTGGAAGTGATGTCTCTGTCAAATATGAATCAGCCCCTCTCCATGGGGACCTCCTAGCCTCCTTCTCAAAGCAGACATCATGTTGCTTAAGGCTAGTCATGATCTTTCCCTGTCAGGGCATGTATCCTGAATGAAAGAAGCCATGCATGTAATGTAGTAGGTGAGTATAAGTAAGTAGGAGGTAGTGTGGCAGACAGCTGAGGTTGTGGTACTTAGTTACATTTACTTGAGTACTGCTTTAGCCTATTTTACCGTCACAATGTTTGAATGATGAAGAGCTGTTCGTTTATGTCCACCAGTTCAGACTAACCAATTTGACTTCTAGACTTAAAATAATACAGGAAAGGTTTATTTTTTATGTTTTTTTTTGTTTTGTTTTGTTCTGTTTTTTTCTTTTTAAGAAAATGCAAGACCTACTTCTCATGTTTATTTTAGAAATATGTTTCCGAGTAATGTTAAGAGAAAACACCGCTAATTACACCTCTAATTACAATCAATACAGCATGCTTTGTTTAAGAGCCAGAATATTTTGAACAGTGTGCAGAAAAGTTATTTTGATTGTGGATTAGAAAGAAAATATGTAGCCAAGTGGATCATTTGCTAAAATATATTTATTTTTAATAAGCCTTTTTCACAGTAATCCTTCATGTATTTCATGTATACAGTTACGATTATTATTTAATTTATTTTACAATGGTCAGGGTATTTTCCATTGTTTTCCTGATAGATAAAATAATTCTTATGACAAATACATACTTTTAAAAGACATCTAGACCTAGTCTTTTCACAAGTTCACCCTTATAGATGTTTCTTGGGTAAAGTGCTGCTTTTGGAGAGGTTAAATTACAGTAGAGAGTCCCTGCGGTTACACTGTCATGCAACATTTTCTTTCATAAGTTTGCTTTGAAGCTCCTCTTGCTCAGTAAAAAGTTTCATTATAAGGGAAACATGTTCTTGACTTGTGAGAGCTCCTGTGAATTGCATACGATTGGCTGGTGGCAGATACTTTCATGGAAAAGGCTCTGGTCACAAGGACACTCCACAGCAGCCATTTTTGTGTTGATGAGAGGGATGCTCATGAGAACTATTTCCTTCAACCTCCCCAATAAAATGTATTAAAACCTCTGTGCAACTACAAATCCATATTTAGAATAATGAATCTGTGCTAGACTGACACAGTTCATTGTTACATTTATGAATTGTTTGTCCTTTGTAATTATTAGTACTTGGTGTAAGTACTACTTACACGTGATAAGTAAATGTGAAATATAATATTATATTACTGAGAACAAATCCCCCCCAAAAAATAAATAAATAAAAAAAATTGTCAGGAAAGTGAAAAGTACAGCGTCCTATTCCTACAGGTGGACTACTGAGGGATTACACAGACACCATATTGCTATATTGTATGGATCTTCTAGTTATAGAATATAACCATAGTTGCCAAGTCTGCCTCTTAATAGCAGCTTTGGGCAAATATTGTAGAAAGTTGCTTGCAATTTTGCTGTCTCTTTTCTAACCATTCAAGTAGAGCAAAAGCACTTAAGTGACTGTAATAGCCTGTTAAAATATTGGTATTAATGCATCATTGATCCATCAAACAGGGGCCATGTTTACATTCACACCAAAAATCTGGTCGGATTTATGGAGTGATTGGATTTATTTTTTTATCGTTCAACTGGTTTTGAACATGAGAATTTGCAACAAAGGGCAAACTAATATGACAAAACTGAAAGAGAAAACATTCAATTCTAAATTAATTTTAATATATATATATATATATATATATATATATATATATATATATATATATATATATATATATATATATATATTTTTTTTTTTTTAGCAGCCATGCAAATGTGTTTCTGATCCACTGAAACTGCTGTAATTTTCCATCAGTGGAGCCTTGACCCGACCCAGACAGACTGCAGA